GGCCTTGCTCAGGGAATTTTCCCTGTATAAAATGACCTCTTCACAGTGCTCACCTGTTGAAATTGTAGCTGTCTTTCAAAGCCCAGCTCAGATGCCTTAGTCCTGTGTGAAGCCTTTTGTGATTCTCCCAAACCAATTATGATTTTACCATTCTTTGTCTTTGTACCTCCCTTATGTCATCTGCCATCGGTGCCTTCTATTTTGGTGGTTTGCATATATGGCTTAACTTCCTAGTTTGTAAACTCTGTAAGGACAACAAGGACTGAGTGTTAACTATTTTTGTCACCTTGCACATAGTTGATGACCAGAATATAACTTTTGGATTGAATGAGCTCCGTAACTCAGCCACCACACAGAATTTTTTTCTGTCTGAAAATAAGCTTTCAGAAACATTACACTCTCTTCATATTTTTCTCTCTGTAAGTGCCTAACACTGGGCATTTCAAAAATTTCAACTTACTGCTATTGTATCCCTCATCTGGGGCTTTTCACACACATTTTTCTAGGCCAGGGTTGTGCATTTGTGCCTTGGCAGGTTGATGGCTATGACTGTGAATAATGAGTCAATTATCATCCAGCCTCGGGGAAAGCACAGTTATTCCTGACTGGCCAGACTGAGGCAATCCTCTCCTCCCCGTGCCCTCTCAAATGAGGAACATAAAACAGTTGGAATTCAGAGCACTGCAAAGGGAATTTAGACAAAGCATTTGTCAGCCGAATTTAGCTTCTTTGGATTTATTCTGAGTTATGATTGATTGGTTTTTAAATTGCTTATTTAGTTCTAACGACTGTTGCTCTAGGGGAGGCCAGATACCAAGGAGCATGAGATCAAGAAGCAGTGGAGTGAAGTAGCTTGGCTGGACAAATCAAGAGCAAATATTATTGTCCAGAGAAACATTGCTCTAGGCAAGGAGTATAATGCAAAAATCACGCCCTGACTTTCAGAGTACCCAACCTTGTTATCAGCATGATTGCTTATCCCCTATTCTCTTTGCAGAAGGCTTTTTGCAATTGCCTAGTGTTGCACAGAATTGTCCCCCTATGAATTTTTCTTTCCTTCTAGCAATATATTCAGTATCTCCTCTCAACTGAGAACATGCTCTTGATTTATATTGCTATTGACCGGAGTGTGGAAGAACAGACACTCCGAGGTTGCTGGCAGATTTGGTTGTGAATTCTAATGTTGGTTGTGCTGATCTGTGAAAATTCTCCTGCAAGTGTGATAATGCTTCTCATTGCATGGGCACTAGTCTGGCTTTTTTACAGGTTAATTTGAATTTTTAAAAAAGTTTCTTTCGAAATTGAGTTGTTTAAAAAAATCACTTTTATCTGGAAGATATATAATCAATATATGGTTAGTGTTTAATTTATCAAGACATCAAAAGTTTCAACCTTTTCAAGGTGTGTAACCCTTTTCTTTGGTCTGAAATTAGACCCTATAGGTGTAGTGGGGGCCTTGTAAGGGAAATCTGTTGGAAGCTTGTCTGTTGGTATCAAAAGGAAATTGAAATTCCATTGCTTCAGAATAATGAAACCTCGAAAAACCTTTAGAAAAAAACTTTTGTCTCATCTGTATTGAAGTTTTGACTCAGAAATGCCCAAAGAAACACTTTTTCAGGTCTCAATAACCTACTTGTTCTCTGAAATATTGCTGTTAGATTTCTAAACCGTATTATGTCTGACATTTATTTCAAAGCAAGAAACATTAGGGATAAGATGAAAGAGTGGAAGAGGACCCTGATGAAAAACAGAACAGAAGAAGATGAGTCGAACACTTGGGTGGCACTTTTGGATTGCACCAGGATTGCTATAGGAAGCGGCATCCGGCTCTCTAATTAGGCTTTCAACCACTTCGGATTCTGGGCTGTGCCAGCATCTGCCATTTTGACATTATCATATTGAAAAATAACTTTTTTTTTCCTTTCTCATTGTGCCAAGGTATTTATTATTTGCTGGATTTTAAAAACAACGATAAAAACCTTTAGAAGGAGCACTTCTGGGTCTTAGGAGGGATATAGCATATGTTCTTGTGAAACCAATTTTGAAGTTTAGAAAGGAGCTGTAAACTGTAGCTTTTGTCAGAGAGCGAACAAGTTCTTTTCTACATCATCCAGTCTTTTAAAAACGAAAACTTCATGTTTATAAAAGGAGAGTTTTTAAAAGAGTGAAAGAACTTTTGTTAGATCTGAGATCCCAACAATAGTCCAACATCAGGATCAGAAGCCGAGACTTCATGATATTTTGTTCTTTATTTCAGAGGAGTTTCATCTGGTTACCTGTCACATAACCTGGGTGTTTTACTGGAAATAGAGAGTACACTGAGTGGTTGTGAGAACAAATAGAACTCGTCCTTGTAGAACATCTTTGATTTTCAGACATTGCTGTGCTTTTCAAGTATTTAGGTCAATAGATTATTACAATAGTGTTGTGCTGGGTACATAGTATTTTCTTAGTAATTACTAGATTTAGGTTATACTTGACTTAAAGGATGAGCAGGGAAAATGAAAACTGTTTCACCTTTTATTAGAATAGGGCACTAAGGCATGGCAGTAGCCACAGGAAGTCTGCTTTCCTTTTAACATTGATGAAGTTTGAGGAACCCTTTCATCCCTCAGTTAACTCCTATTTCCAAGTGTCTCCGTGCCTATCTTGCTTTACTCTGCTACCCATGCTTTTTGCCCTAGGACTGATTCAGGACATCTCTGTGGCTGTAAAAGTGGAAGAAGTCAGGGAGACTAAGGCCTAAGACCATTTCTTCCTCATTTATCTCATCTTGTATAGGGCTGGTTACTCCAGCATATTCTTAGCAACCCTCCCCACACTTTGCTCAGCACCCCCAAGCCCTCCACCCACAGAAGCCAAGGTTGGGTGCTTCACACCAGAATTTCCAAGGATTTGTTGAGGCAAAAGGCAGGGGCCACCTCTCCCTCTAGTAGCTAGTTCGAAGTCACTGGTGCTGGTGCAGTAGGCAGTAGTAGAGAGCTGGCCTGAGCTGGTGTTATTTATGGATATGACCTTTTTAAAGAGAGTGTGATGCATTTCATATTTGTGTTTTCCCTCTCTGGCTTATTAATTATGTATTATAGATTAGGTCACCTTATCTCTGCTTCCTATCAGTATATCTGTGTTATGTCCTAAACATATCCTCACAAGTCTTAATTCTACCAATGATAGGGTATTCAGAAGCAAACAAATGATGTTAACTGGATTTGTATGAGGCTGTGTTCATTACAACAACATGAATCTCACTGATTTTGACGCCATGCACTGACAGGTCAAGAGAAACAAACATGGGCATTGTGCTGGGTTAGGCTATCTGTAACCCCTTCAGTTAGGGATGTTCCTAAGGAACTCACAGATAAAACAATTGCTGGGTCTCTGGAACATTTTTATAGTAGAGGCTAGGAAGGGGATGGAGTAGGATTGCCCAGTCCAACAATGGCTTGATTTCTGCCACTTGACTTCTTTTGAATTCCTTTATCACTCTTTTAGTGATCATTGACGTAGGTTCCTGTACTTGCTATTGTCAGAAGAAGCAAGTTTCAGTTTTGGAATGTACCCTGCACCCTTAGTTCTTCTTTGACTATTGTAAGCCATTTTTCTTTGTCTCCTTTTTGGCTCCCCGCCACCCCCTGCCCTTTCTGCTTCTTTTTTCTTCTATTCTCTAAAGACCTTTTCTTTTCATTTGCTGCACTAACGCAGGTAGCAAGGCACAGTGGTTAGAAGGATAGGTTCTAGAGTCAGAAGGCAGTGTTCAGATCCCCACTCTGCTGCTTAACCATCTGTATAGCCTTGAGTGAGTTACTCTTTCTCTGCAGGCCTTAGTTCTCTAATCTGTAAAGTGAGGATAGTAACAGTGTCTACTTTTAGTGGTATTCTGAGGATTAAATGAAATTATTCATGAGATGCTTTTGAGCAGGGAAAACAGAAACTGTTTCACCTTTTATTAGAATAGGGTGAGTGCCAGACACTCAATGAATGTTAACTTTGATTATTAATTTTAATATTACTATTAATATTTAAAATAATGTTATGGCTTAAACTATTACCTCAGTGTAATTGATGACCAGATATTTACCTCCTGTGAAATCTCTCCCAGATTTTAACCTACATTTGCAGCTGCTGTTCGGTCATTTCCACTACAGTTTCAACTGGCACTTCAAATGCCACATGGCCAAAGCTAGATTCATTATCTTTTACCAAAATTATTTCATTTTCCCCCACATTTCTTTTAATAGCATCATGATATAATTGTCTTAGTCTCTTAATTTAGGATTACTCTTAGATGCTCTCCTCAGCCTAAGTAGATAATCATGAATGTACATGGATTTAGTACAAATATATTCATGTTTATAATTTTAAACAGTCAAGAATAAGGAATTGGTTAAACTATCTTACATTTATATAAAGGAGTTCTTGATAACTATTAAAATTACATGGAATATTCAATAACCTGAAAAGAGATACTGCTGGCAAGTTGAGTTATGTACAGTATGATTGAATTTGGATTTTTAGAAGTGCATGGATACATAAAACATTTTAGATAGCCACTGAAAAAACTTTGTTATGGCCTTTCTGGCTTGTAGGATTATGAGTGATTTTCATATTTTACTTTTTTCCCTCACAAGGTTTCTAAAATCATCCACAAATTGCTTTCATATAAAGAAAAAATCCCTCAAATTTAGAAAAAGATGGGATAGGTCATGCCTAAGAGTCTTGCAAATACTGTATTTTATTAACTTTTTAACATCGCCCAAGAACAGTGCTGGATATGTAATAGGCACTCAGTAAATATATGTTGAGTGACATAATGTTATCTTTCTATCCAAGTTTAGAAATCAGTTTTAACAGTTCAGAGTGCTTAATGCCTCAAGGGTTCAGTTTGTAGAATTCTTTGAAAAGTATTCTTTTTTGTTGCAAGGAACTTTCTCAATATACACAAAATAAACCAGACTGGGTGTTGTGGATGTTTTCTAATAGTGCATAACTTCTTATTTCAGAGGATCTTGTGTCCGAAAGGGGAGTGGTTGGAACTGATTCTTCAGAAAACATTTTTACCTCAGCAAAAGTTACTCATGAAAATGAAGCAAATAACTGCCATCTTAGAAATAAAACCATCTTTCTTCGTACTTCATCACAGTGTTTAGAAGAACAGGTAATGCCAACATAGTACATTTATAGAAACAACCTGAGAAGAAAATAATTCTTCATGAATCAAAAAAAAAAAAAAAAAAAAAAAGAGAGACCCTACTAAACACTAGATAGTTGTTAGATCTGTAACTCCTAATTCTAGAAGGAGTACCGTTGGGGCACTTTATTGAAGGTCATCATTACATGTATTTCATGATTTTGACAGCTATTGTTTATGATGATAATCGGTTATCCCCAAGTTTTATTAAAAAGTTCTTAAGGATCTGCCATCTATAAATTATTGAAATTATTTCTCTTAGCTTATCTTCTTCTAGTTGAGACAAAGGAGTTCCTTTCTATAATTACCTGTGTAAAATGGGGCTTTCTTTCACCTCTCCTAGATTCATCTCTTTCAAACTCAAGGTGGAATCGGTTATTTTGTTTTTCTCTAAGATTTGGTCAATAAATGTTAGATACTCTTTTTCTAATCTTGAAGACTTTATAGACTCTTCACATTCTCCTCAGCTATGGTTTTTAATTATCAAGGAATTATAGTGGAAACTGTTCTGCTTTTTAAGCCATTTAAGTTTCTAATATCTGCTTCGTCATGTCTTCCTTGCAATATTGTAGACAGAATTGTATATTGTGTTCTTTTTTTTTTTTACAAGGGAACAAAAATCTCTGTGTTAGAAATATGTTTATATACAGCAGATGCCTATAATTCTTTATTTCCAGAACTTGCTTCCAGAGAGATAATTGTGGGATATGAACTTTTTTCATTCTTTACTGGCAATGACTGACCATTGGGATTATATTATATTGACAGTCTTTAACCAGCATGTGAGAAAAAAAGAATGGTTGAATGATATTGTTTTCTAATAACTTGAAAATGTTGTGTTAGCATTCTCCGATTTGTTCATCAGAGGTTCACTGGGATGGGATAGGAGTGGGAAGTATTCCTGTTTTACTCATTAGAAGACTGAGGTTAAGTAGTCTATTGTAGGTTACACTGTGGATGAGTCTATAGGACAGAAGTAGAATCAGAGCTCCTGAAACCTATTCCCTGACCTCTGCTATGGCTTACTGAATTTGGTCTGTTATGCTTAGCTAATTAACAAAAACAGGAAGGGGAGTTTTGTCATCTGAAGGGCTACATGATCAGCTTCTTTATTTTCGGTTGTTTCATTTTTCCATCAATATGTGACAGATGAAGGCCAAAAAGTATTTTTTCAGATAGTGATGGATGAAGGCCAAAAAGTTGGCAGTTCTTTTCAAGGTGATCTGAATTGGGCAGAAAAGGTGAAGGTAAGGCATGATTCAATTTTCTTGGCAAAAACCAAAAACATAACAAACAAACTAAAAACACAGGACTCATTTACTGTCCCTTATACAAAGTTAGAGAATTCAGCAGATTTTGTCCCTGAAAGTTTTTTTTGGTTTGTTTTTATTCATTGGTGTTTGAATATCTTAAACTATTCTTGGTCAGCTGGGTTCTGGATCTTTTTTCCTTAGAGCTTAATAAATGAAAGGGTTGCTTTGATATAGCAACACGACTCTAGTCCCCCTTAGCACACACCACTAAGTAAATAACAATATAATATGAGAGAATTTCAAAATTTAGTAGTGAAATCATTATATGGAAGATAAATTTTTGCCTTCTCTTGGATGCCAGATAATAACTGCAGGTATGTACTTAAAAGCAATGGAAGTACCATTTAAAATTCCTATGTAATAGCTCTGGTCTCACAGGTAGAGCTGAGGGAAGAAAGACCCAGCCTGTCTTTTGAATTACAATTATGAAATGTAAATTTGTAATTTTATGGTATTTTGTTATGCACATGTTTAGGTCATGAGCATAAAAGGCATTGCCACCTTATTCCTTTACTCGGTCTCATTCGTGCCAGTGGTGAGATCATTTTCTTATTTACACTCTTTGATATATTCACTTGAGATGAATTAGTTCCTGTCTAAATCTTACCATTTTGTTAATCTAAAATGTCTCATTGTCAGCTTGCAGTGGAAAGCAGTATTCCATGTGGAATAGTTTTTCATTGAAATGCTGCTATTGTGTCTGTAAAGGTCATTTGCCCTGCTTTTTACCTTTGAAGTAATTTTCAGTTTTATTTGCTCGAAAGAGAAAACACTTGAGTTTTTGCCCTGCTCACCTCTCTTGTGATTTTGTTTTGCATGAACTTTTCTCTCCTGTTTTCTTTAGTTTCTTCTCTCTGGCTCTTCAGAGTGCTGTAAGAAAGCCTGCTGTCATGACAGTAGCCAGAGCCACCACCACCATTTGCTTGAGAGGCAAAAGCAATAAAATGAAAACAAAACCCAGAAACACTGTTTTTGATTCTCATGGTGGTGGTATATATTCTGGGATAGAATCTGGAACAAAGTCCCTTTTTAAAAAGTCTCAGACTACTTTTTTCCCTTTCAATGCAGAGGTCTGACTATGGTGCCATTTTGACCTGCCAAAATCCAGGCCAGCTTTCAAATTTACTACTTCTTTCCGATGTCTCTTGGGAAAGCACAGTGAACACAAAAGCCTTGAGCTGGGACTCAAGAGTTAATGAGAAAAGTGGATTCAGCTGCTCAGTTAGGTGTTGTGGAAGTGGATTCATTGACTTTTCATTGCAGTTTTTCTTTAGGTCTATTCTGCTTAAAAATGATGTTAATTCTTTTTTTTCTAGGTAGAAAATTTCCTAGATTTAGAAGATCTGGACATGGATGAAGAGACTAAACCCCAAATGAGTGAGGGTATGCTTTCTATTTCCTTTCTATACTACCTGACCTCTTTCTAGAACTACAAATAAGGTTTTAGACGGCTTTCCTGTTTTTGGCAATTCTTACCTCCACCTCTCCTAAGACAGGAAAAACTAAAGTTGTGAGCTATTTTTTTCAATAACAAAAATTTCAGCTGAAAGGTCAAAGCTTTTTGAAGATTGTGAAACCTTTGGTCTTAAATAAAATAAAGGTGTGCCCTCCTGCTAACGATTCATCACAGGATTGATTCTTAGGTAATTGTCTCAAGTGGAGCCCTTGTAAGTCAACTCTTTATTTCTTAGAAGTACAGTCTTGTAAACTGAGATTATTTTTGAGGGACACATGAAATACTTATTGATCATAAAAATCATAAAAATATCAGAATTGATCACAAAAATAAGGCTGTCTTGCCTGGTATTAAAGGTTACTGAGGTTGAACCAAGTTTCAGTGGACTTGAGTGAACTAATGTCAAGACTGTCCCACATGTAGAATAACATGCAAAGCCTAGACAGAAAATCTACGCAGGCTTCAGTGAGCTAGTCAAAAGAAAATAAAAGAAAATCCATTTTTTTGCTGTTAAAAATATTTATTATGTAAATTAAACCCTTAATACTAAAGATACATTGTAAATGTTTCTTCTGAGGCATTTTTCCATATGGGCTGGATTGAAAAAGACTTCATGCTAGTCTGTTGATGTTTATTTAGAGGAAAACTTTTTTCTTTCTAGTTAACATTTCTGGATAGGCATAGATATTCTTTGTTTCTGAAAGGACGTTTGAAATATGTTCAAAATCAGGAGGTTTTTTTTTTTTTTGAAAACACTCATTCCTGATTTAATATGCAAGAATATATCAAAGTCAATGCCTACTTTTACGAAAGGAGCAGTTTCCATGGAGGTTTGGTTGTTGATGTTTCACTATTGTTTACTGTCTTTAGGTAGTCATAAACATGATTTATGGTCATTAGCGTTGGAAGGATGGCTTATTTATAATCAGACAGAAGTTAAAGTGACTGGATAAAGTTGGTTTGGGGATGGTGACTATCTATACATTGGTTGTATAAACCTCTACTCTAGCTTCTTCAGCTGCTTGAATTTGAGAGGCTTTGGTAATTGGAAGCAATGAACATTTTTATTCTGCTTTCAAACATCACACTACTCCATGAAGGGATTGCTTCTCAAGCACACTATTAACCAGTAGATGTTGCAGATTCTTTAATTACTTACTTGGTTTAAGTGAAATCAGAGGTCTAGAGGGATCACATCCTCTAGGGAGAGGTTCTCTAACTAATACGCTGAGTGGCTCTGAATTTCTATAAGAGCAGCATAGGGACTCCAGTTGGATTAGAAGGGAGAGCTAAGGACTTGTCAGGAAGCTACATTTGTAGAGGAAGCACACTGTTTTGGGTGATTTGGGAGAGGAAACTTTGTTAAAAAAGCAGATTTCTGGATCTCCCTCCCAATAGAGAATCTAATTCAGAAGGTCTTTGGTGGCATCTGGTGATCTGCATTTTAACCAACACCCCAGATTGCCAGTTAATATTCTATATTATTAATATAATTAACATTTTATATTATAATATTATAATTATATATACTGGTATATATACTGGTGTATATATAATTAATATTATAATAATATCAATTAACATTATTATAATATAATAATAGTATATAATATATAATATACAATATTGATATTATATTAATATAAATTAATATTGATATTATATTAATATTAATTAATATTGATATTATTAATATATTATGTTGCATATAATATATACTAATATAATATAATAATGCATAATAATATTATTATTTACTATTATTCTTTAAGTTCTACGGTACATGTGCACAATGTGCAGGTTTGTTACATATGTATATATGTGCCATGTTGGTGTGCTGCACCCATTAACTCGTCATTTACATTAGGTATATCTCCTAATGCTATCCCTCCCCCGTACCCCCTCCCCACAATAGGACCCTGTGTGTGATGTTCGCCTTCCTGTGTCCAGGTGATCTCATTGTTCAGTTCTCACCTATGAGTGAGAACATGTGGTGTTTGGTTTTCTGTCCTTGTGATAGTTTGCTCAGAATGATGGTTTCCGGCTTCATCCACGTCCCTACAAAGGACATGAACTCATCCTTTTTTATGGCTGCATAGTATTCCATGGTGTATATGTGCCACAATTTCTTAATACAGTCTATCATTGATGGACATTTGGGTTGATTCCAAGTCTTTGCTATTGTGAATAGTGCCGCAGTAAACATACGTGTGCATGTGTCTTTATAGAAGCATGATTTATAATCCTTTGGGTATACACTCAGTAATGGGATGGCTGGGTCAAATGGTATTTCTAGTTCTAGATCCTTGAGGAATCACCACACTGTCTTCCACAATAGTTGAACTAGTTTACAGTCCCACCAACAGTGTAAAAGTGTTCCTGTTTCTCCACATCCTCTCCAGCACCTGTTGTTTCCTGACTTTTTAATGATTGCCATTCTAACTAGTGTGAGATGGTATCTCATTGTGGTTTTGATTTGCATTTCTCTGATGGCCAGTGATGATAAGCATTTTTTCATGTGTCTGTTGGCTGCATAAATGTCTTCTTTTGAGAAGTGTCTGTTCATATCCTTCACCCACTTTTTGATAGGGTTGTTTGTTTTTTTCTTGTAAATTTGTTTAAGTTCTTTGTAGTTTCTGGATATTAGCCCTTTGTCAGATGGATAGATTGTAAAAATTTTCTCCCATTCTATAGGTTGCCTGTGCACTCTGATGGTAGTTTCTTTTGCTGTGCAGAAGCTCTTTCGTTTAATTAGACTTCATTTGTCTATTTTGGCTTTTGTTGCCATTGCTTTTGGTGTTTTAGTCATGAAGTCCTTGCCCATGCCTATGTCCTGAATGGTATGGTGTAGGTTTTCTTCTAGGGTTTTTATGGTTTTAGGTCTAATCCATCTTGAATTAATTTTTGTATAAAGTGTAAGGAAGCAATCCAGTTTCAGCTTTCTACTTATGGCTAGCCAGTTTTCCCAGCACCATTTATTAAATAGGGAATCCTTTCCCCATTTCTTGTTTTTGTCAGGTTTGTCAAACATCAGAAGTTTGTAGATGTGTGGCACTATTTCTGAAGACTCTGTTCTGTTCTATTGGTCTATATCTCTGTTTTGGTACCAGTACCATGCTGCTTTGGTTACTGTAGCCTTGTAGTATAGTTTGAAGTCAGGTAGCATGATGCCTTCAGCTTTGTTCTTCTGGCTTAGGATTGTCTTGGCAATGAGGGCTCTTTTTTGGTTCCATATGAACTTTAAAGTAGTTTTTTCCAATTCTGTGAAGAAAGTCATTGGTGGCTTAATGGGGATGACGTTGAATCTATAAATTACTTTGGGCAGTATGGCCATTTTCACGATACTGATTCTTCCTATCCATGAGCATGGAATCTTCTTCCGTTTGTTTGTGTTCTCTTTTATTTCACTGAGCAGTGGTTGGTAGTTCTCCTTGAAGAGGTCCTTCACATCTCTCGTAAGTTGGATTCCTAGGTATTTTATTCTCTTTGAAGCAATTGTGAATGGGAGTTCACTCATGATTTGCTCTCTGTTTGTCTGTTATTGGTGTATAAGAATGCTTGTGATTTTTGCACACTGATTTTGTATCCTGAAACTTTGCTGAAGTTGCTTATCAGCTTAAGGAGATTTTGGGCTGAGACGATGGGGTTTTCTGAATATACAATCATGTCATCTGCAAACAGGGACAATTTGACCTCCTCTTTTCCTAATTGAACACCCTTTATTTCTTTCTCCTGCCTGATTGCCCTGGCCAGAACTTCCAACACTATGTTGAATAGGAGTAGTGAGAGAGGGCATCCCTGTCTTGTGCCAGTTGTCAATGGGAGTGCTTCCAGTTTTTGCCCATTCAGTATGATATTGGTTGTGGGTTTGTCATAAATAGCTCTTATTATTTTGAGATACATCCCATCAATACCTAACTTATTGAGAATTTTTAGCATGAAGGACTGTTGAATTTTGTCAAAGGCTTTTTCTGCATCTATTGATATAATCATGTGGTTTTTGTCTTTGGTTCTGTTTATATGCTGGATTACGTTTATTGATTTGCGTATGTTGAACCAGCCTTGCATCCCAGGGATGAAGCCCACTTGATCATGGTGGATAAGCTTTTTGATGTGCTGCTGGATTCGGTTTGCCAGTATTTTATTGAGGATTTTTGCATCGATGTTCATCAGGGATATTGGTCTAAAATTCTCTTTTTTTGTTTTATCTCTACCAGGCTTTGGTATCAGGATGATGTTGGTCTCGTAAAATGAGTTAGGGAGCATTCCCTCTTTTTCTATTGATTGGAATAGTTTCAGAAGGAATGGTACCAGCTCCTCCTTGTACCTCTGGTAGAATTCTGCTGTGAATCCGTCTGGTCCTGGACTTTTTTTGTTGGTAGGCTATTAATTATTGCCTCAATTTCAGAGCCTGCTATTGGTCTATTCAGGGATTCAACTTCTTCCTGGTTTAGTCTTGGGAGGGTGTAAGTGTCCAGGAAATTATTCATTTCTTCTAGGTTTTCTAATTTATTTGCATAGAGGTGTTTATAGCATTCTCTGATGGTAGTTTGTATTTCTGTGGGGTCAGTGATAATATCCCCTTTTTCATTTTTTATTGCATCTATTTGATTCTTCTCTCTTTTCTTCTTTATTAGTCTTGCTAGCGGTCTATCAATTTTGTTGATCTTTTCAAAAAACCAGCTCCTGGATTCATTGATTTTTTGGAGGGTTTTTGTGTCTCTATCTCCTTCAGTTCTGCTCTGATCTTAGTTATTTCTTGCCTTCTGCTAGCTTTTGAATGTGTTTGCTCTTGCTTCTCTAGTTCTTTTAATTGTGATGTCAGGGTGTCAATTTTAGATCTTTCCTGCTTTCTCTTGTGGGCATTTAGTGCTATAAATTTCCCTCTACACACTGCTTTAAATGTGTCCCAGAGATTCTGGTATGT